GGGATGCGGGGGCAGCAGGACATAGAGGCCGCGGGATGGGGTTCAGTGGGACGGGGGGCAGTGGGACAGGAGTAGCGGGATGGGGGCAGCGGGACGGGGGACAGCAGGACAGGGATCAATGGGATGCAGGGTCACCAGTGGGATGGGGCTCAGTGGGATGGGGAGCAGCAGGACGGGGCTCAATGGGATGCAGGGTCACCGGGACACAGGGTCAGTGGGACACAGGGTCAGCGGGACGAGGGTCAGTGAGATGGGAGTCAGTGGTGGCAGCGTTAGCGGGATGCAGGGTCAGCGGGATGCAGGGTCGGCAGGACAGGGGGTCAGGAGGATGAGGGGATCAATGGGTTGCAGGGTCAGCAGGACAACGGTCAGTGACATGGGAGTCAGTGTTGGCATTAGCAGGATGCAGGGTCAGTGGGATGCAGGGTCAGTGGGATGCAGGGTCGGCAGGACAGGGGGTCAGTGGGACATGGGGTTGCTGGGATGCGGGGTCACCGGGACACGGGTTCCACATGCGGCTCCGCCCACACACACGGACACCCCCTGGATCCCCACATCCCCCTACCTGTGTGCGGGGCCATCGCCCACCACAGGTGCCACCAGGTGCCACCCTGCGGGCACAGAGCTCCATGACTGGATGGGATGGGTGGGACACGAAGGCACCTCCCGGTCATGCCCCATGTGTCCAGTGCCCCCCAGTGGCCCCGTGCCCTCATGTGCCCCGTACCTGCCGGCGCCGGGCAGCGAGCAGGGTGGCCGCGGCGGCCGCCAGCAGCAGCACGAGGCCGGCGCCGAGGAGGCCGCGGTCGCTGAGCGGCGCCAGCCCCCGGGCGCCCAGCATGGCCCCGGGCGGCCGCGCCGCGGGGGCGGGGGATGGTGCCCTCGGCTCACGGAACCGCTGCCGTGACATCACAGAGCAGCCCCTGTGACGTCACACAGGCGACCCTGTGACATCACAGACTGCAGTTCGTGGCGGCAGCGCGGGAAGAGACGCCCGCCCCGAGGCGCCATCGCCCCGCCCCCGAAGCATAACCCCGCCCCCTGCGTCATCGCCCCGCCCCACGACCGCACAGCCCCGCCCCTCACGTCGCGGCGGCCTCGCCCCGCCCACCCGGCGCCGTCTCCCCGCGCGCGCTCCTCCGGCGGCGCCATCTTGTGCGGAGCGGCGGCCGCAGGTGAGAGGCGGCGCCCCGGCGGCCCCGCTCGTCCCGCCGCCGCGGCCTGCCTTCCCGCCGCCAGCGAGGCCTGCGCGGGCAGCTGCTCCCGCAGCGGCGGGGACGGCACGGGCGGGGGGCGGCTCTGGCCGCGGCGGCGCCGTGACCGGCGGGCGGGCGGGCGCTGCTTTAAGTCTGCGCAGGAGGGCCGGGATCCCAGTGGCTCCACAGCAGATTCCGTGGGACCTTCCTGGGCTTTTGGGAGCTCTGATCCCGATAGCCCCTAAAGTGCCCTCCTGGGGAAAGCTGCGCTTAACTTATATGAGAAGCGAGGACGGGAGTTGTTTGGCAGGGGCGGCTGTTTGTGGAGATCTGCTGTGAGTTTCTTGCCGTGGCTGGAAATAACCAGGATCTCTAGGCTGGAAAATAAGTGATCCTTAAACTAAGCTGCAGAAGTCGCTTGCAGATAGGCGCTGCCTTTCCTTACAGCAGGGCTGGGTGCAGCTTGAGATGCTCCCGAGGTTTTACCACCTTGGGATGGGTAATGAAGCAGCTCCTTCAGTTTCAGGAGCTGGCATGGCTTGAAAAGCCCTGGATGCCACTGTACAGGATGGGTGAACTTACAGAGCCTGTTTTCTGAGCCATAGATGCAAATGTTAATGAGTCTATTTCCCTTTCCACCACTGCAGAATGGAGAACTACAAGAAGACCAAGATCGTGGAGAAGCCGTGTCCTCTTCCTTTCACCGACCTGCCCCCCGATATTATTGAAATGAAGGTGAAAGACGGGAGCAAAATCAGAAACCTGATGGGCTACGCCATCAGCAAGATGGAGCTGGACTCGGTCAGGCAGATCCTCTTCACGGGCTCGGGCAAGGCTGTCAGCAAGACCATCACCTGCGTGGAGATCATGAAGCGAAAGCTCAGGGAGCTACACCAGATCACCAAAGTGCTCTTCAAACAGATCGAGGAGATCTGGGAGCCCATCGTGCCCGAGGCCGGCCTCGACACCTTGACGGTGAAGAGGAACATTCCGGCCATATGCATCTTGCTCAGCAAGGATGCCCTCGATCCGCAGGAGCCGGGATATCAGGCCCCGGGCTCCTTCGAAGCCTTCTGGATTGAGACGCTCAAAGAGGAGGCCCAGGGCCAGGTGAAGAGGAAGCAGGGGGGAGCAAGGGCGGCTGGCAACCCAGGAAAGCACCCGCGGTCTGCAGGAGGGCAGGAGGAGCCCTGCGAAACGTCCTGAGACACAGACACGTTTGGGTGTCGCTTGGGGGATTTAAGGGAAAGAAAAGCCCAGCGGCTGTAGCTGGGCAGCCGCTGAACACGGGGGCTGCAGAGCTGTTGGGCAGGGAGGAGAAGTCGCCGTTTCCAAACAGACCTGACTGTAGCTGCCGGAAATTTGACAATTTCCGTGTGAAAAGCAGCCAGGCCCTGCTGCGGAGCGCAGGGATGAGGGGGAAAGCGGGAACCGAGTGTGGACGGAAGGTGCCTTATGAGGAGCCCCGGGGCCTGGGAGACTCTCGCTGAGGTGCACATGGCCACTGTGACCCAGCGGGGATTCCTGGCCACTTCCTGCATCGCCGGAGCTCCCGCGGTGCTGGGCCGGGCCCGCTCCTTATCCGTGCCTGAAAGTCGGTCTGCTGCGGCCGTTGCACCTCTGTGTCCTCCTTCCACCTCCCCTGGAGGTGGCAGATCAGGCCCTCCCTGCCAAGGTGTCGCGCAGTGCCCAGTGCAGTAACGAGCCTGAAATCCCAAAGCCAAAATCCCAAATCCCCAGTGGTGGTGGTGTCGGGCTCCAGAGCACACTGTCCCCCATCTGCTCCTTCGTGATGCACAGAAATGGACTTAAAATAAAGTTTCCTCTATATTTAATGCGACGTTTGTCATGTCTGCCTCCTGGTGCCGGAGCTGCAGCTGAGCCCGGTGCATGACCTGCTCCCGAGGAGGAGGAGGGGAACCCACACGTGGGGTCTCATCGGGGGACCGAAATGGGCCCTGGTGACAGCAGGAGGGGCAGGGGGTGGTCCTTTCCTTCCTTTGCCATCTACCTTTCTTATTGAAGGAAAGTCAACAATGGTGTGTGTTTTTCTGGGAAACTTTGCAGGTTTTCTTTTTGAAGTGCCTGGAATCGCAGCCTTGAGGACATCCTCCAGACTCCGCTAAATGGAGCGGAGGACGGAGCACGTCCTGCTGTGGCTTTGCTCCTGGAGCAGCTGAGGTGGCTGAACAGAGGCCAGGAGGACCGTGCTGTCACTCGGAAAGCCCCAGCACCTGCAGATGCCGCCTGCTACAACCTCGATTCAGACCTCGCTGCCGTTCACTCCTCACCAGGATTCAAACCGGGGCTGCTCCTCCTCGCTCTTCTTGCTCTGGGTGTCTGTCCGCACGTGCAGGACTGTCCCAGCCGCCCTGCTTGGGGCGAAGCAGCAGCTTTGGTGCCTGAGGGCCACGCAGCACAACGGGCATCTTTGGAACCCAAACTTAGTCACATCTAAAACCCAGAAGCAATGCGAAGGGAAATCATTTGTGGTTGACATAACAACAATCTGAGGTGTTTTCACGGGTAGTGAACAGCATTTGTTTTTCCTTTGGCTGCAGGTAATCCAGGTTTAGAGCTCACTGAGTTCAGACCTGCTTAAGTGCCAGATGGGGCAGCGTTAGCACCTCGTAAAGAGGTGAGGGGCGCCCTGGCCACATCCTAACGCTGTTTCATAACACTAGGTGCACGTGTCCATGTGGAGCTCCTGCTCCTCTGGAATTAAACACGCGCTGCTCCGTATCTGTCATATCTGTCGTCTCGCTTCGTTCTCCCAGTGCCAGTTCCAGAGGGGTGATCCCGTCGCGTGATGCGGTGCTGGCAGCAGCAGCGCCAGGGCCCGTGTGTTGAGGTGCGGCCTTGCGGTCTGCTGAAGGCTTCCCGGCGCTCCCCAATCCTGGAAAAGGAGCAATTTTGGGGACTCAGGTGAAAACGTCCAGGAGCGACTGCTGAGGACGGAAGGGCCATGGCTGCGTCCCGGGCCGCAGGCGCCCGGCCCCTTCCCGCCCGGCCGCGCATTGGTATCCGCGAGTGCAGGTGAGGCTGTTCCCGGGATGCCCAAGGCGGATGGAAGCAGGGCACGGAGCGGGGCTGAGGCTGCTCCTCTGTGCCAGGGCCTGCTGCTCCCAGCTGTGCTTCCCTTGTGCCTAAGGAGGAGGCTGCTTTATTAAATAATCAGCCGCTCAGTGGAAAATACCCAGAAGCGACGCTCCAGTTGCTGGAGTGACTCTTCCCGCTGCTTCCATCGTGATGAGCTCAAAACCATTTATTTACTGTTAAAAACACCCTTTTGAAGGAATCTCAGCTCCTAAAATAGCCTGGGTAAATCCTCCCCGATGGCAGCCGCGCTTTGAACGTCTTCTAATCAAAGCTGCAAAACGATTTGCCTTTTTCACATGGTTTTGTTTACAGCGTGGCAATCGCCGCGGCTTCCCGCCGTGGTTCCGCCGTGGGGCGTTTCGGATGGTGCTTGCCAAGCTCTCCTTCCTGGACGCCGGTGGGAAGCTGGGCTGGAGACGGAGCCGTCCTCCCGTGGGGCGGCGCGCGCCTGCCCTCCGGGCGCTCCGGGAGCTGCCCGTGCACGGATGAAACCCAAGGAGCGCCGCGGAGCCGGGCGCGTGGCCCCCACGCAGCCTCTGGGCTTGCGGCCGGCAGCCAGGAGAGGTCCCCAGCTCACTTCCCGACGCGGAGCGCGGCCAGCTCCGGCCTTTCCCGCTGCGGCGGGTCCGTGGGAGCTGCCAGGAGCCAGGCGGGCGCCCTGCGCATTCCATGTCGGCGGGCAGGGAGCCTTGGGGCGCCTCCTCGCCCCGCATCGCGCTGTGACACCCGGACATGAAGCAACCTGTGGCACCTGCTGCTGTCCTCCCCTTGGCCGGGTGACCAGTGGCTCCTGCGGGGATGATGCTCCCTGCAGCTCGGCCTGCGCTCACGGAGCAGCCGGGCGCTTGGCTGTGCGGGGTCCCTCGGTGCTGCGCTGCGGCTCACGTCCCGGAGCACCCCTGGGTCCCACGTGAAGAGGAGGAGGAGGGGTGAAAGCTGGGCTGGCACAGGGTGCCGCTGAAGGCCAAGGGGGTGAGGACCCAAGCAGTGTCCCCATCCCAGCAAGGGGCATCCGGCCGGGAGCAGAGGGCTCCGCGCGGCTCCCCCGCCCTGCGGCCTCTCCCTTCCCACTCCCGGCAGCCGCAGGGCGCCGGCTCCGCGGCCTGACCTAGTTCTCCAGCGGGATTTGGCTCCCGGGGAGCCGTGGCTGCCGCGCGCGGCTGGCGGGGGCTGCACGGGCAGGGGCACGTGCACGAGCGCGTGCAGGGCTGGCTGCAGCCGCGTGCGGGTGTGCGTGAACATGCGGGTGTGCGTGTGGACCCGTGAAGATGTGCGTGGGCAGGTGTGTGTGCACGGGTAGGTGTGCATGGGTAGGTGCGTGTGCACATGTACCCATGTGTGCACGGGTAGGTGCGTGTGCACATGTAGATGTGTGTGCACGGGCAGGTGTGTGTGCACATGTAGATGTGTGTGCACGGGCAGGTGTGCGTGTGTGCGCACGCTGGAGCCGGGGAGGCAGGGTGGCAGCAGGGTCACAGCAAGCAGGACAGACGGCAGTGGCGGGACTGGGAGCCAGGGTTGGGCAGGACAGACGGCCTGGGCAGGATGGCATGGGCCGAGGCAGGGCACTGCGGGCCGGGCAGGACGGTTCGGGCCGGGCAGACGCTGCGGGCCGGGCAGGATGGTTCGGGCCGGGCAGGACGGTTCGGGCAGGACAGTTTGGGCCGGGCAGAAGCTGCGGGCCGGGCAGGACGGTTCGGGCCGGGCAGACGCTGCGGGCCGGGCAGGACGGCGCGGCCCGGTTCGGTTCGGTTCGGTTCGGTTCGGGCCGGGCAGACGCTGCGGCCGCCCCGAGGGCAGCGCTCGCGCTCCAGTCCCGCCCGCCG